GTCGGATACGCCACTGCTTTTCGTACTTTCAGCAACGATGATTTAATCTCAGATCTTGTGTGCAATGGTTATAAATCCCATGTCCTTTAAATTCAATCGATAAAAATCGTTCAATGTCATTTTCTTAATATATTTTACCTTAACAGATATGTTTATCACCGCTACAGCTTACCTCATATAAATTAAACTGTTTCATTCCATATGTTTACTGAGATGATTCGCACGCAATTGTGGATATAAATTGTTATTAAATTTGATTGGCCAATATATACTTCCCTTTTGTTTTATTATTTCGATTTTTAGTCTAGTACATTTATTAATAACATTTAAGGAGTGGCGATGTGGTTATATGCTCATCTTCTTCTCATCGCTTCCTTCAGGGGGTAACGCCTATATCCTCTCGTGTGGCAGACCACGGGGCCCCCGACCTCCACAGGGCCCCGAAGAGTTCGAGGGATCTGTGGATACGAAAGAGGTCCCGACCCATATAGTGCCCCATTTAACTATTTAAGTTTCGTCTATATTGTTTTAATTTGTATTTGTGTTCTTGATACACAATGGGTCTCTCAAATCCTGGAATTGCTCTGGCGACTAAGAGAATTTAGGACCTGGACACTTACTGTGCCCCTGACCCCGACGTTACTCCACTGATTTCTTATATCCCTTTATATATGAGAAAAACTCGTGTTACCGTGAATTGAACCTAGGAACCTGGTATTGGAAGGCAAGCATCTTAACCACAAAACCATTCAATTCCGCTCCAAAGATGTGTACAACCGAAAAGGAAATACCGCTCTAATTAAATGCCCATCCCCCTTATGACGCATTATAATCATTCACAGGCCTATCTCTCTTTAGGTAAAGGTAAAGCTAAATGCCTTCTCTCATCACGGGCATTTTTGATTGGTGGGTGTGGAGAGGAGATAAGAGGCTATTGTTTTACATATGTAAATTAATTTTAATATTATTTTGTATTAACATTGCTGTCTATAGGCCTACCTGTATTTTTTATTTTTAAAAGTGTATCTGACTTGTATAAACAAAAAAATACGAGTTCCTTATAATCCGACATAAAACAACCTTGATTTATGATGCCTGCAACTCTTTGAAAGTTTTTTGTTATCCTTGTATAATAGTTAATTATAACAGACCTACATAAATACAATTACATCTACTTATTGTATTCATTTCTGTAGCTTCACCAGTCCGAGAGTGAGAGTCAATCTTGAGATGATCTTTCATTTCTAGATTCAACGTAGGCCTACTGTACACTGGATTATGCACTCGATAGCTCTCCTTTTGATTATATTCACCGCGGCCGTGTCATCATTACGATGCCCGACTAACTGGAAGCTATACGAGACCGACTGTTATAATTACTCGCCAACAGTAGCGAAAAAATTCTGGGACGCTTCTGCACATTGTCAAGGACACCAGTTTGTCGCCAATGATGGGTAAGTGTTCACTTTGTGTTTAAAACAAAAAACACTGATGTAGTACCATGATACATTACGTAATCAATATCGATTTAAAACAGAACGAATGGCGCAGTACTCACACATCAAGTCCTGCACTCGTTCTGATACCTAAATTGCCATTAAAATATTACTAACAATATCGTCCTACTAAAACTGTCAGTATGTTGTTATTTTGATGTGTATTAATAGTCATATCATCATAATTATTTAAGAAAAAACTACATTAAAGTTACTATATTATTCTAATGTACAGTAGTCTTTATTTGAAGGGAACATTTTTGGTTTAGTTGGGTGTCTGCCAAAACCATATGATACATTTAAGTTTGAATGTCTTACACATTCGGTATTCAATGTATACACACGTCTTCACTAAAATCACTATGTTTTTAAAGTAGTCGTTATTTAAACGGAAATTTTTCAGTTTTCTGCCAAAACTGTCCATTGGTGTTAAAGGGCCTGTTTCTACTGACGAGAAAAAAAAAACATTCTTTGTGGCAGTAGAAACAGGGCCCACATAAAAGAACCGTTCTTTTCGCCTTCCCAACAGTTCTTTGGCACGAATCAATACCGTGACCCCAAACAAACCGTTCGTAAAATAACCGTTCTTCGTGCTGTAGTTTTTAGTCTAGTACTAGTAGAATTGTTGTAAATGACGGAATTGAGAATTAATTTTTATCAGACATAGTAAAATATTTCTCAAGTAAGTTAGGCCTCTTACATTACTTTACAGTCGGACATGTTGGTATTACACCAGTCCAGTGATATACTTATATACATTTGTCATTTATTAACCAGGAAAACAAATGTTAAACTTCTATTCTCAAAACAACAAAATATTCCCTTCTGTTAAGGTACGGTAATTAGAACAAAAGTTCAAAATTTGTCTTATACCGACAAGAGCTTTGTTTTTTGGATAGGAGAAACCATCATTGTTTGTTTGTATCTTGGTATTCGGGGGAAAATATTGTTGTTAAAGCTTATATTTTTAAAGTAATTTCTGCATTTTGGGTAATTTTCACGTCTTATTTAGCTTGGTATCAAATACTCAACCATGTTATGTGGAGTCAAAATGCAGTTGCGATGGGGTCTCATCTTGTAAATCCGATAATCAAACAATATGATAAGATAACCGTTTCTATCTCGATTTTCAGTAGAAATAATAAATTAAATGGTTTAGAATGGATGTACAGTTATTTCATGCTGTTATTTATTCTTAATAAATGATTTCTTTAAATTTTTTTTTTTTTATATATATTTCATGTAGTGTTGAGCACACCGCCGAATTGGTATCAATTCACAGTGATACAGAAAATACGTTTGTGAACTCCTTTTCGCCTTCAAAGACATTCTTCATTGGACTGTATCGTGAAAACAAAGACGCTGATTGGAAATGGGTAGATAATACCACGGTTGACTATTTGGGCTGGGGACCCGGTCAGCCGGATTCACCTAGTCAAAATTTGGCTGTCATATGGAACGATGCTACACCGACTCTATGGGACAATCAGTCGGACCATCCACTCACTTTCGTCTGTAAGGTTCCCGCAGCAAAATGTCTGCAAACTGTTGGCGAAGGTATGTGAGTATTGAACTTAATTATGAAATGTATTCCAATATCCTCTTTTAAATAATCAGATTTTAATAGTATCTTTTTTACTACTGCTGCTACTGCTACATAAAATGATAAATGATAATGATAACGATGATGATAATTATAAAGATGATAATGTTGATGATGATAATAATAAAGATAATCGTGAAAATAAAAATTATATATCTAATAATTAAATACCTAAATGTAGTGTCTGCTATTACACCGACCAATTAAATATTAGTAATAATGACAATAATATCAGCAATAATAATTAGCTATAATTACTATAATTACCGGTAATATATTTTATTATTATTATATTATTAACATTGTATAATAATGAAAAATTTTAATAATGTAGTATGATATTGTTGTAGTGTTCTGCAGCGTTGACGGAGATTGCAAGAATGGAGGAACTTGCAACACAGATGGATCGTGTACATGTCCGGCCGGCTTCTCTTGTATTGACTGTTCTCTCTCTGATGGTCAGTATATAGGTTCAAAAGATAATTTATTTTAACGAATGTTGTCTCAACGAATGTTGTCCTATAAATTAAAAAAAATTGTGTAATAAAATTCCTCTGACCTCTCACTGTCAAAGCGAGAGCTATAATCATTAGACTAGAGACTCATGGTTGAACAGATTTAAATAACCGTCCGATACACTCTATAACACAATAGATACGGCTGGAACAAATAGTAGCATATAGGCCCCTAACTGTGTTAACGGCCATCTTGATTTATATTATATGGTACTATTTATTTGGTGAATGAGATGCCTGAAGCAAAACCTAGGTCCTTATTAACTCCTATTTTATGAGTCCTAAGTTTCAAATCCATTTAATTGCTGCACATCTTTCGTTGAGAAACCTAAAGTTGATGAATTTTATATCATTATGGTCCGTTAAAGAGCCAAAGGTAAATCATATTTGTTTCTTATAGAGCTTTCGTGATTATTGATCCTCTGTCTAAATGTGCAGCCAATTTCTCCGACATAACAGTAGGCCTATACCCCATACGATACACCATTTATAAGATATATGATAATATGGGCATTGCAAGTGAGTGAAGGAAGTGGCTTGATGGTAATTTTGTTTGTGTTGGGTACATGGATAAGACTGTTATGATGATATGGCAAATATTGCATCTGGGATTACCGCATTTTCTGTTACCTGATTGAGGACGGAAAGAGGGAAGATTAATGTGAGTAGGTCTAAGGATTTGAGGTTGGGTGGTTGTCTCCTGGCCAAGACTGGGGGTTCTTTGCAGGTAGGCCTATGATTATTTTGGTTTGTTCTGTAATAGTCGATCTCGAGTTTTGTTATACGTTTTAGCGAGGTGTTTCTTTATTATCTTGATAGGATATTTACTTTGTGTTTTGTTGACGACGAGCGTGCCGATGTTTATATTATTCAATAATAGAGATCTTAATAACATCTTAATAAACATGGGAAGAAGCCGTATACCTTTACATAGAAGATATAAATTTAATACGTAATTTTCTGTATTTCTTTTCAGTAAGTTGTGTTGAAGGCTTAGGTATGGAATCTGGTGCTATCCCATCAGCTAGCATTCAGGCTTCCAGCGAATACGATAAACAACATGGACCCCGTCGCGCTAGATTGAATCTCGTACCGGACAGCGATGGTATTGGTGCATGGTCTGCCAAGACCAATGATCTTAATCAATGGATCCAGGTTGATCTAGGTAAAGTAATGCTAGTATCAGGTGTGGTGACCCAAGGACGTAATGGATATTCTCCTGGACAATGGGTGAAGTCATATAAGGTTTCGTACAGTATGGATGCCACCAACTGGGAAACAATTTTGGGTACTACAGGCGTGCCAATGGTAAATACATTATTTAAACATGATATGATATATCAATATATAATAGTAGGGCTATTAAACTATAAATTAAACTTGGAATAAAATTTAAAATAGGAATTTTGTTATTTTAAGGAATTTGTTGGCAATTCAGATACGGACACCGCTGTCACCAGGTTGTTTCCCGATGGAGTGCACGCTCGTTTTGTTCGAATCCACCCTCTTACTTGGTATGGACACATAAGCTTGAGATTTGAAGTGTTAGGTTGCCCAGGTAAGCAATATAAAGATGTGTTAATGGGGATTTTATTCAACATATTCAGTGGCGGATTCAAGGGGCCAGCCAGCGTGTCCCCTTCCCTCACCTAAATTTTTCAAAATTGTAAAGAATTTGGGAAATATAGAATTACATTCGCATTATTTTTAAGTCTGAGAGCGCCATTTCCGGCCTTCTACAGGTGACATAATCATAAATTTTCATACTTCAATTAATTAATTAATTAATTAATTATTTAATTAATTAATTAATTTTCATATTTTCAGTTTCAACCATGGTGGGGCTGAGGTGGTATAGACCTTCCATCTATCAAAGCCCCTATATTTCAAATTCTTGGATCCGCCACTGATATTTGGGTTAAAATTACATTGCAGGGATAAAATGTTGAATAAAATTCCCATTAACACCTTAAGGTGTTAGTGGGGTTCAACATATTTGGATATCGGAATATCCAAAATGATTTATGGATATCCATAAATCACTTGATTTATGGATATCCAAATATTAAAGACCCAATGACACCCATTATTGTATGCCCATTGCCCAAAACCACACACACCTACGGAATATGCTTTGAAATTGACTACCGAGCAAGTGAAAACAGAGTTTTAAAATAATTGCTAGTTTTTCGTTGGATTTTTTAAACAGTAGGCACATCAAAAGAATACTTTATGGATTCAGAAATTCGCAACGGTTCTGACGCATATTCGTGTTGAATATAGTTTTATACAACTAATATTGATGGTTAAGATGCTTGCCTTCTAATCCCAGGGCCGCTGTTTAAATGACAAACTGCTTACTACGGGTCTGTGGGTGTGTGTGTGTTTATCTTGACATGGTGTGACATAGAGGAGATATCCATTTTTAGCCAAAATACGCTATTTTGAATGCCGTAAGTACTGCATACCCAATTGAAGTGTATCAGTACAAAAATATTTGTTAAATCCACAGCAGTCGTGTATATATCCACTATTTGAGACGTAGCATTCTAGTCTACAGTAGCCTAATTTGACTCATTTATCACAGTGGCCAAGCTGTTCAGGCATCACACATGTTCATCGCGGCATCTATTTAATCTTCGTTTTCATCTTAAAACTCAACTCATTGATTAATATCAAAATAACCACATGTCATAACATGTACACCACAAATGTAAACATAACCACAACTGAAAAAATAATCGCCCACCCGTGTAAACCTTTGTTTAACCTCAAATGTAAAAACATTTCGCCTAGTAGTAAAACACATCACGAATGTGACATATTGTCAACTTTACGCTTCCGGATTGACCAGGATAGCAAGTGTCTACTGCCTGAGTGCAGTAGACACAAAAATGAAGTGATATGAAACGAAATATATGAAATGATATGAGATGATAGGAAAAGATATGAAATGATATGAAATGAAATGATATGGAATGTTATGAAATATTATGAAATGAAATGGAAATGATATTAAGTGGTATGAAAATGGTTTGAAATGATATGAAATGATATTTTATGAAATGTTACGAAACGATATGAAATGGTATAAAATGTGTGAAATGATATGAAACGATATAAAAAGATAAAAGATATAAAAATGAAATGAAATGATATGAGATGAAATGAAATGAAGTAGAAATTAAATGCAATGATATGAAATGTTCTGAAATGTTATAAAATGATATGAAATAATATGAAATGTGTGAAATGGTATGGAATGGTGTGAAATGAAATAATATGAAATGGTATGAAATGGCATGAAAGAAATTGAAATGAAATATGAAATGAAATAGCGACCCACCTCTGATCGATGTTGCTACCAAACGGGGTGACTTGATGCGTCGATTATTAAGCAATAAATTTATGTCAAAATTTTATAAAATAATTTGATTTCTAAATATTAATAATTAATAATTTGTTAATATGATGTCGAGGAGAGAAGCGTGTGATACGGTATATACATAGGGAACAGTGAATTCACTGTTCCCTGATACTACAGAGTTTAGACCATGTTTTTGGTATTTAAACATTCACTATCAAAGTGCAGTTTACTACATGGGCTTACATTTAAACCCATGAACCCATTTGATAATGTGCTTTAAATTCGTAGATGCATGCAGTAGTACTCCCTGTCAGAACTCAGGAACGTGTCTTGCAACAACTGTTGACCCATTCTACTTATGCTCCTGTGCATGGCCGTGGACGAACGCAACGTGTGAAGAATATAACGGTGTGTTACCTTTGATTGCTTTTGTTTGTTTTTTTTTGTTTTTTTTTGTATTTATTTCGTAAATCATAAATTTAACACAATTTTTAATTATTAAGACCTATGAACCATCAGAAACACAAACGTATTCTGAGTAATAGTCAAAAGATTTATTTAACTGTATAAGTATTGGTATAGTATTTATTCGTATATTTAAATTGTTTTCGTAGGCCTATATCCTATATTACGCAAGAGGATCTAAAAATTCATAGCATTTACGAGACCTTTGAATTCTAAAAACCACAACCACCCCCCCCCCCCCTCCGAAATAACCCCCCCCCCCCTCCGAAATAGGCTAGGCTTATTATTATCACCTCGATTAAGTTGTAACTTTTACATTGCATCCCAGGTTGCTTGAGCAATCCGTGTCTGAACGGTGGAACCTGTAACGATGATAATGATCCTTTTATGTGCGAATGTCCTGAATGGTATTCTGGGACTTTTTGTCAAATACACGACGGTAGGCCGCCTCATTGTTACGTATTCCTAGTAACAAATACATTCAATGTTACATTTCATATTGTCAATTGTATTGAATCTTATATTTCTCTTGAAACAAACCGCAATGTTAAATAGAATGTTGAAGACTACTAGATTGAAACATTTGGTTTCTCCTTTTGCCCAAAAATCACATTAGGCCTATATTTAACATGTTTAGGACTTTGCGTCACAATTGTACATGAGCCGTAGTCGTACGTATAGATTCTAATAGCCTAAGGAGAAAAATCACGGAATGAAAAGAAAGATTATAATATATGTCAAATTTATAATAAATAATATGTACTGAAAGTGTATTAAGCATTGTTCATCTCAACATAATGACATAACTTGAATAAAATTTACATTAATTTGAATGGCCCGTGACGTAAAAGTTATTAAATTAATGTGGGATCACATTTACATACATATTTTTTCCAAAAAGTGTTGAAAACATTGCCGTTATTATTCTTTACCACAGTTTGCCAAAACAATCCGTGTATGTCCGGTGGAACTTGCGTAAATAACAAAGATGACATAGCCTATTCTTGTGACTGTCCTACCGGCTTTTCTGGAGACAAATGCGAAATAATTACAGGTAAGTTGACATCTTTTCTGGCCGGGCTTTACTCTTCTTTGAGGGGAAACATTTTGTTTAAAGCCTTAATGAGTATGAGTATGAATGTGGCTGGTGGAAGCAAGACACAGTAACCATTCAACGGCCCACCTCTGGTCGATGTTGCTAAAAAGAATGGTGATTTGACGTCGTTGATCAATAAACAATGTATTAATTTCAAAAATTTTATGAAATAATTTCATTTCTAAAGATGAATAATTTGTTAATATCATAATGTCGAAGTGAGAAACCTATGATACGGTATTTAGTACAGAGTTTAGACAATCGGTTTTTATATTTATTTTAATTTAATTTTATTTTTAATTTACTTTAAATTTACTACTTTAAATATTGTTATAAGCAATCACAACTCATGGCCCTTTTCTATAATATTCTTTAAATTCGTAGATGCCTGTAGTAGTACTCCCTGTCAGAACGCAGGAACGTGTCTTGCAACAACTGTTGACCCATTCTATATATGCTCCTGCGCATGGCCGTGGACGGACGCAACATGTGAACACTATGACGGTATGTTACCCTTGATTGCTTTTGTAGTTTGTATTTGTTTTGCAAATCCTACGTTTTACACAATTTTCAATTTAACAGTAGCATTTTGTGAGACCTATAAACTATTAGAAACACAAGTTCAGTTCTGTCTAATAGTCCAAAGATTTATTTAACTATGTAAATATTTGGTATAGTGTTATATATATTCGTATATTTATATTGTTCATATTTTCTGAATTACGCATGAAAATCTAAAAATTCATTGCATTTACGAGACCTTTGAACTCTAAAAGCCACACGCCCTCCGAAATAGGCTAGGCCTATTATTATCATCGACGATTAAATTGTAACTTTTACTTTCTATCACAGCTTGCGTGAGCAATCCTTGTCTGAATGGTGGAACCTGTAACGATGATAATGATCCTTTTGTGTGCGAATGTCCTGAATGGTATTCTGGGATTTTTTGTCAAATACACGACGGTAGGCTGCTTGTTTTTACGTATTGCCAGTACTTTATACATTCAATGTAACATTTCATATTGTCAGTTGCAGTGAATATTAAATAAAATGTTAAAGAATAGTAGCTTCTTCCCAAGAATTACATTATATCATTATATGATAGAATGTTAACATGTTAAGGACCTTGCGTCTCAATTGTACATGAGTATTGTTGGTGTTGATTCTATAGCCTGGAAGGAGGAAAAACACGGAATGAATTGAAGGAGATTAAGATACATCAAAACCATGAATGAAAAAACGTACAGAAAGTGGACCAAGCCTCGTTCATTTCAACATTAAGTGTAACAAAGTTACATTAATTTGAATTACCCGTGACGTAACAAATATTATATTAATGAGGGATCACATTTACATACATATTTTTTCTTAAAAGTCTGAAAATATTGCCGCTATTTTTCTTTGCTACAGTTTGTCAAAACAATCCATGTACGTCCGGCGGAACGTGCGTAAATAACGAAGATGACATGGCCTATTCTTGTGACTGTCCTACCGGCTTTTTAGGAGACAAATGCGAAATAATTTCAGGTAAGTTAACATTTTTTTCTGGCCGGGCTTTACTCTACTTTTTGAGGGGAAAAATTTGTTTAAGGCCTTTAATGATTATGAGTAAATGTGCTGTTGGAAGCAAGACACAGTAACCATTCAGCGACCCACCTCTGGTCGATGTTGCTACCAAACATGGTGATATGACGTCGTTGATCAATAAACAATGTATTAATTTCAAAAATTTTATGAAATAATTTCATTTCTAGAGATGAATAGTTTGTTAATATCATGATGTCTAGGTGATAAACCTATGATGATAAGGTATTTAGTACAGAGTTTAGACAATCGGTTTTGATATTTATTTTATTTTTATTTTACTTTAAATTTACTATTTTAAATTTAAAGCAATCACAATTCATGGCCCCTTTCTATAATATTCTTTAAATTCGTAGATGCATGCAATAGTACTCCCTGTCAGAACGCAGGAACGTGTCTTGCAACAACTGTTGACCCATTCTATATATGCTCCTGTGCATGGCCTTGGACAGATGCAACATGTGAACATTATGACGGTGTGTTACCTTTGATTGCTTTTGTATTTTGTATTTGTTTCCTAAATCCTACGTTTTACACAATTTTCAATTTATCAGTAGTATTTTTCGAGACCTATACACTATTAGAAACACAAGCGCAGTTCCAAAGATTTATTTAACTATGTAAATATTTGGTATAGTGTTATATATATTCGTATATTTATATTGTTTGTATGTTCTGAATTACGCATGAAAATCTAAAAATTCATAGCATTTACGAGACCTTTGAACACTAAAAGCCACACGCCCTCCGAAATAGGCTGGACCTATTATTATCATCTCGATTAAGTTGTAACTTTTACTTTCTATCACAGCTTGCGTGAGCAATCCGTGTCTGAATGGTGGAACCTGTAACGATGATAATGATCCTTTTGTGTGCGAATGTCTTGAATGGTATTCTGGGACTTTTTGTCAAATACACGACGGTAGGCCGCTTATAGTAGTACTTTATTATACTGTATCCATTGTTATGCTTCAGATTACCAGTTTGTATGTTCTGTTTTTCTTGACAAATAACACAATATCAAACTCAAATGTTTCATTTTAAAATAGATAAAAATTACAAGTGACATTAATTTAGCTTTTTACAAATGTTAACATTGTTTCCACTTTTATTGTTTTGCCACAGGCTGCCAAAACAATCCTTGTGTGTCTGGCGGAACTTGTGTAAATAACAAAGATGAAATGGCCTATTCTTGTGTCTGTCCAACCGGCTTTTCTGGAGTCAAATGCGAAATAATTACAGGTACTAGTATTAGTTTTCTTACACAATCTCTTCTTTAGCAAAAGCGGAAATCTTAATTTGCACATTAGCACTTCCAAATGGGTTGCACTTGTTCATTGAATGATATAATACTAAATAAAAGTTTACCAAATTGTATGACTATTGGAAGCACAGCTATAGTAACCTTTCACCGAACCATACTCTGATCAATATTATCACTATGATGATTTAATGTCATAGGTCAATCAATAAACGATGTATTTTATGTATTTATGGAATTTAAAAAAATAAATTTTTTTTTTAAAATTATTTTTTAATCATAATTCAGGTGTTGAACCAATGGGTCATACAGTACAGTACAGATAGGCCTACATCACCAACCTAATTTTCTGAATCAACTATTCGGTCTATCACGCGTCTCCATTATGTTTAACATGGTTTTCAGTTTTTGTGCATTTTTAGAATTCCGTTCTTGTTTTATTGATACACTTTTTGGATTTAGAAATACAGTATAAGATATCAAAAAATTAAAATACTGTATGGCCATTTTCAGTCAATAAAAATAAACTGACCTCATCACTCTCGTATTTAAGGAAGAAACCCTGCAATGATCCTGCAATCTGTATTGACAGATGGCCAACAAGCTTACCAACACCACCACCACCACCATCACCAACACCACCACTAATTTTATCTGCTGTTGTGCAAATGCCCCCAACATCTATGAGCTCTCGACGATTAGGCCTACATTTTCTTCACCAAAACCATTCCTTTATCTTCGATTAAAAAAAGTTCCCCTTGAATTTTCCAATTTCCCATAAGTACCCCTTCAATTTTTCTCTGTATCCATAAGCGCCTCCTCAATTTCCACTCAGTTTTCATATAAGCGCCTCGTTTGAATAAGCGCCCTTCAAAAAGAGCCAAAAATATTTTAAGTACCGGGCGCTTATTTGCGCGTGTACGGTACAAGTCATTTCTTAGACCGACTTATATAGTATAATATAAGCGATTGTTAATCATGTTATTCTTTAGATGCACGCAGTAGTTACGACTTGCAAAACAATAGTATAAGCAATTGTTAATCATGAACCCATTCGATATTATTCTTTAAATTCGTAGATGCATGCAGTAGTTCTCCCTGCAAGAACTCTGGAACGTGTTTTGCAACAACTGTTAATCCATTCTATGCATGCTCCTGCGCATGGCCGTGGACGGATGCAACGTGTGAACATTATGACGGTATGTTACCCGTAATTGGTTTTGCATTTGGTATCTATTTCATAAATCCTAAATTATCAAATAGAAATAAAAGCTAAATTCTGCATAACAATTATTCTGCAAAGAATTACGGTGTATATATAT